AAAATGTTTTGCCTATGTAGACACATTAGATGAAGAGAAAACTTTGCTATTATATATATAGATTGTTTCTTAATTCTTCTGAATTTTAATAATCTATCTAATTAATTGTTGGGGCAGTTGAAAAAATACTACTTTTTGTGTGCACATTTGCAAGATTGCCACTTAGGGATGTTCATTTGCAAAAATGTCACTAATTATAGATTTATAAAACATATATCTTAAAATTCTAGACCCTAAAATATGTTTTGACCCCTAAAACCTCCTAAACACTCAAAACTAAACCTTAATATAACATAGTTAACCCAAACATAAATTATATAATGAAAAAATAATTTTTAAAAAATGGACATTTTTGTAAAAATTTTGAAAATGTGACATTTTTGAAAAATAGCACTTCAAAAATCTTAATTGTTTGAAATTTCTCTTAATTGTTTACGCAGACAAGGGGTTATCAAACCACGTACACAGAATCATTTTTCTTCTTGCGTACACACGACAAGACTAGTAGCATGTGGATCGAATTATTTGGAATATTCTATTTTTTTTTTTTTAGATTGATTGTGGAATTACTATATCCACATTTAATAGTCTCTCTTCTCTATAACAAAACCCAAAAATCAATTTCTATTTTTGTATCAGGAGAAAAATAGTACTCTGAGCAATCAACACAAACATGCAAGAATTTTGAATCCCAGACCAATCATGCTAAATATAGATCATAGAATCATGTATCAAGAGTGTGAACATGATTTTGGAAAATGCAAAGTTGCAAATCAATTAAAAACTGAAATGGTCCTTTCTTTACCCCCCAAGAGCACACACGAGCAAGAAGCAAATGATATTTACAATTGTATGTATATATCTATATGACTGCACCAAGTCAGGAGCATACCCACTTTGACAAAACAACAAGGAAAACGTAGAGACCCAACAAACTCATGTGTGATGTAGAACAAAAGAGATGTAGCCAAATTATGTAGTAGACTAACCGAATACGAAACCGCTTCAAACTTCCAAACCAGAGGATACTGATGCTCTACTTCAAGCAATCATCAAACACAATTTCCTGTGTTAATTGGACAAAAATCAAATAAAATGTTAGTATGTTGGCATATTCTGCATCTTATCACCCCTCTCTACCCAAAGCTTTTGGCAATCATCAATGGCAGATCTAAGTATCTAACTAAGAATCCCAAATCTATTCCCTTTTGATAACATAAAGGATTGAATTCGTAAACAGTAGCAAGATATCCATTAGTTTTAAGTAACCAAATTTAGGAATAAAACTATCTGCAAAAGATAATTCATGCGTGAGACACACCTTATTGCATATAGGGCATCTATCGCTTCTTTCAATCCACTCCAGAAGACAAGAGAGGTGAAAATCGTGCTCACAAGTTGTCGTTAGTCTTGGATTCTCAAGATCATAAACTGCATAAGGGAAGCACATGAGTCCACGACTTCGACTGCTCTAAAGAAAACGTTTCATTTAACGTTCTTGATTTCTTACCTTCAAAGCAAATGGGACAAGACTCCTCCTCTTCATCTACCAACTGCTTCAATCCTTTTTGTTTAGAGAAATCTGATTTCCTCGGCGAGAGAATCTGAGTTTTACAGTCTGAACCCCCAAGATCTTCACATGTCGCTAACGTTTCAAAACTGCTCTCCCTAATCCTTCCTTTGATAGACTCCGAATCTGCGCATTGTGGTCTCCCCAAAAGCAAATCATAAGGAAGAGGAGCAGGAGCACAAAAGGTGTCTGGTATCGATGTCTCCAAGCCTATATCAACCAAGAGGCCTGTGGTGAACGCTGATCCCACACCAGCACGAGCTCCTGAAGGCTCAAGTCTTTGAAAAGATTCTGGACACTGCGTAACAAACTTTAGTTAGTGGAAACTTTAATCCTTTTTCACATGAGAATGTAGAGTGTTACAATCAAATAACTGCAGATGATGTCTACAATTTGTTTAGAAACAAGCATGCACATTTTCCACAAGCACAAATAGTTTGCTACCAACCTCTAAAGGATACAAACGAATGTTAGAGATATTCAAAGTCATACTTTAATCTTTTTTTTAAGATGCAATACTAAAATCATGATTTAGCGATGAATTGTGCAAAGGCAACAAAGATGGAAGATGGATCAAGGTGACAGAATAAATACAAGCTGGAGAAAGAAAAAAAAGACTACTGACATAATAGTATACAGGTGTTCCAACAAGATGCGACTTCCTCGAGGAACAACAGCAACCTCCCATTTTCACACAAACTATAACGTTTACACAATAGTTGCAGCCAACAGTCCTTGCATCATCTGCAGCCAGGAAAGAAGAGTGAACATGAGCACATTATGAATCAAACAACAAGATTAATTAATTTACAGTTAAGCTATTACAACAGTGTTAGGAAGCAAAAATCCCAGAGAAACATTCAATTGATGCCAATAAAAAACACATAAGAATGTTCCCCGGCTCTTTGTCCCAATACCTGAAACCTAAATACTCACAGGAATCAGTCAAGTTGCAACGAAAACAGCGACCACAATAACTATTCACTTTTTGGGCCAATTTTAATCAATACAACACTAGAGACATAAGATCTTCTTCTTCTCATAACTCTTGGAGAACGACATAAAATGGAAACGACGTCAAACAAACAATACAAATACACACATGAACTGGATTCAGCAAAATCTTCCCCAGATAAACAGGAAATTACAGAAATCTGTACCCAAATTCTAACAACACAAACAGTAGCGAAGATTGAAGAAGCGGTAAAGACAAGAATCAAAACGGAAACAGATTCCGTGAAGAAATAAAACCTGAGATGTGGCCGGAGAATTAGAGTTTGTCGTCCTCCTAAGGAGAAATTCAGGCGAGGGTTTCAAGAGAGCTCCCTTATTTGTACCTCATCATCATCCTAATTATACATACTTGATTAGTCTCACTAATTATTTATTCTCCCGTTAATTAATTACCTTTCAAAGTAATTAAACACGGACAACAAACCATTGGGCTTTTGTTTTGAAAGATGGGCTTTCAACATTATAAAAACCATGGCCCATTTTTTAAAGAAGGTCAAACTAGGCCTGTATGCCCAGACCTAGGTCAAACCATCTATCAGTATGGTCACAAATATCATCATCGTTCAACTACTGTGAATCTTCCATCCTAACCTATTTTTGATTTTGATTGATTGACTTAAAATCAAAGTAATTTTTTTTTTTTCTCGAAACCTGACTTTTAAAGAACGTTCATAAATCAGGATTCGAATTGCAAATGAAATTTTAGCAAAAATATTTCTATTGGAACGCCAGAAACGAAAAACATAAAACTTAAATGCGATTTGATATTAGAGTTTATTATTTCGATTATTATTGCATTTACAGAGATGGACCCGTCTGCCATTTAATATGAGTGGCGGCTAACGATTGGTACAAATTAAAGATTTCGTAGACGTTTAAAATACTACTCCTAGAATTATATATCAACCGTACTATAATTAAATCTAAAATTATGAAACTACATATTACAAATGATTAATAAACCGATTAATAAACAAAACCAGGGGTGTTTAATGTTAGATTGTTAATAATTACTATCAACGTTGGTTTAATTTAAGGACAGCTGAGAATAAATAGCTGTCTTAATGAAATCAACGTTGAATTTAAAAGTCAGTCAGTCTCTCTGACTCTTCCTCCGTCGCCATTGCTTGCTTCTTCTTGCTCTCGTTGTTGCTACGTTCTTCAAGTCTCTCTCTCGA